AAAGGGATACGTGCACTTTGTTTAACCCTTTTGTGACCAGACTTTTTGAAGCTTAGGCATCAGTCAACTTGACAATTCGCTTCTTGGCCTTTTGGCTAAGATTCAGTGTAGTATCTGTTCTTATCAGTTTCCGGTGGGGAAAAGAACCGTTCCTTTCGGGGGATGGTTACTTAGTACTCGCTGGAGTAAAGGTTGTGTTTGGGAGGTCTCTCACCGGCGAGGGGGGCTTCCCGGCACTATTGCTTGGTGTGCTGGCACTTTATTTATGTTACGCACTTTTTTGATAGATTTTTACTTCACAGAAGACGGAGGGTGCGGGTACCTTCGGGGGCCCTTTCCTGATGTCAGGGAGGAGATTCTGTGACCCTCATAGGGACCGCCTGTCTCCTTCCACTCGGGGGGGTTTCTCTTCCGGGGAGCTCAACCCAGTACTCGGTGGACCGGTTTCAGCAGGTCCATGAGGAGAGGGGTCCGTCGGCCTTCGGGTAGTTGTTCTTGCCCCTATCAGGAGCCTTGCGCCCCGGGAGGTCAGGAAATTGTGGCCCTTCCTCTTTGGAGAAGGTCCAAAAGCACCCTCGTGCACTTTTTTTTTTTAGTGTGCTGTGATTTCAAGGTTCACTTTTTTTGTTCACAGGGGTGAAGTTTGTCTTCGATGCACGCATCACGGACCTAACTTGACAATAACTCTATGACTAATTATTCTGATTGACAGTGGGTCTGAGAACTAGGAGAACGCATAGTTGCACATCCCTACTTCTCTGCTGCATGGTTACCTAACGCTCTCACGACAGGGGGCATTTGCTTCTCTTTCATTTTCAAAGCTTAACTGAACTGAAGAGAGAAGCTGATTGGTTGCCATGGGCAACTGCTCCAGTCTTTATGAATTTCCCTCTTTTTTTGAGCATTGCATTGCATGGAACTGAAACTAGAGGACAAGATGCACATGGCCTAGTCCAGTGGTGGTGAACCTTGGCACTCCAGCTGTTTTGAAACTACAAGTCCCATGAGGCGTTGCAAGACTCTGACAGCCACAGACATAACTCCCAGAGGCAGATTCATGTTGGGATTTGTAGTTTTGGCACAGCTGGAGTGCCAAGGTTCACCACCACTGGCCTAGGCTGTGCGCCAGCACTGCGGTGAGCAACGCTAGCCAATGCATATGGTGTCAATGGGCCCTCAGTGATTGGATTTTAATCTATTTTATAGTGTTTATAAAGCCAAAGGGTTTTGTTTAGGCCTCATTCACACACAACGCAAGCAAAATTGTATATTGCGTATATATGCGTCTATACGAGCGTCTATGCGCGTATATGTGTGCACTATATGCAATCCCAGAATGCATCACTCGTAATGGAATTTTTAATGTGCTGTACGCACGTAAACACGCGTATATGTGCGTAAATACGCTGCCGGGACGCATCTCTGTTCCATTCTGTTTTTGCGTGTATAAGACTATACATTTTCATAAAAATATTGACCTAAAAATGGAGGGGCGTCTTATACACGGGGGGCCGAGAGGAGAACCGCGGTTGCGAAACTGACGATACCTCTGCAAACGTGCCTCACGAGTGAAACTTCCGATTGCAGAGACAAGCTAACAGGTTTCCTCCAATCATGAGCCTTATGTACCCAACGTCAGCTGATGCAGCGGAGAGCGTGTAGCCAGTGCCCAGATGCAACAGGGAGCGATAATGTCGGAGCATTCTGAGCCCATAACCAGGAAGCGGCTGTCTTACTCTGCAAAATTTAAACTCGATGTAATCAGTTATGCAAAAGAGCATGGAAAATATTGATTTCTGAATTTTGGGTAAGCAAAGTGGGGGGCGTCCTATACATGGGGGCGTCTTAGAGATGGAAAAATACGGTATACGCTGCGCAAATATATGGCTCCATACGCGGCTGTGTGTATGGAGCCATTTATTTGCATATGTTGCATATGGTACAATACGCACGTACATGCGCGGCAGTGTGAATGAGACCTTATAGTGCTGGATTGAGTAGGAAAGGGTTAAAACCCCGTCCTGGTAATAGAATTGCTGTCTGTGTCCCCTTGGGGAGCTTTTTCTTCACTTCCTGTCCAAGAGACACAACAGGAAATCTTTCCAAAGTGACAGGAAACCCCCTCTTAGGTAGCGGTCACCAGAACAGGTGCTACCATTGTCTTCTTTGCAGTTTTAGTAGAATGTAATTCGGAAAAAAAGAGCGTTTTCGGACATGTCACTGGGGACTGGAAAGCTTGGCGTTTCCAAAGGTTCACAAAGAGAACCTGACAACTGTGGTGATAGTCAGAACAAGCTGGCTGGAGGTGTGAAGGACACACAAGAAGTTAAGACGCATCATCTACTGTAAAATGTATATTCAGATGAGGAGTTGTCTTACAGGCAACTTCAGCCAGCTGCCATTCCGTCACAACATGTTGTGGGCAGGGCTACCTACGTCGTCTCATTTTTTTGGTGGGCGGGGCGAAGCAGAGTGCCCCATCCCTCGCACAGGCGGGAAACCATACCTGTCAGTGGCGTTAAGAGGGCGTGGTTTAGATTAGTCCCGCCCCTCGGCTTCGGCGCTGTGTTTGAGCGGAAGTTTTGGTGTGGGTACGCTCCGCCCACACCCGGAAACAGGAGAACCCGGAAGTTCCGGTGTGTTGTGGAGGGGGGGGATAAACAGGAATGGCGGAGGCAGCGGCGGCACCTGTAGCTCTGACATCAGTGGCGGCAGGGAAGAGCCCCCTTCCCACGTTCCCGGACAATCCCCCCGCGAGCGGCTGGACAAGGCAGGTGACCTGCAGGTAAGAGTAGGGGGCGGAGCTTAGTGGCAGGGGGGGGTTACTGTCAAGGGACACCCACAGGTTATGTCCTGGAGATGCTCTTGTGTTTTGGGATGTTACCATACCTCATATAATAATACACCCGGTTACCATACC